ATGTTTTGAAATATTTACCTAGCCCTAGAATTGCAAGCATTAACCATTGAGATTCATCTTTGTTATCTGAAACAAAACACTAAGACAAAAACGAAACAGAACAAAATATTTTTGTGATTTTTGATTTTTCGAAAATAAAAGAGAAAACAAATAAAAATCTTTTTGTTGTTTTTTTTGTTTTTCGAAAAGAAATGACAAAACAAATGAAAAATCTTTTTGTTGTTTTTGTGTTTTTCGAAAATAAAATCAACTTAATAAAAATATTGAAAATGTACCAGACACACGAATTTTTCGGCTCCTATTTACGAAGACGAAGGGTATCGAAGCATTGAGTATGAACAGTAATCTTGGACTCTTACAACTGTCCAGTTTTTGCTATTCTTTCGAAATAGAACCCCCTTCGACCATACCAAGTCCTCCTAAAATTCTCACAAAAGATTTTTCATCTAACGGTTTTGTGAAAATATCAGCCAATTGATCAGTGGTTTTTGCGAAATGCATTTCAATATTACCATCCTCTACATGTTCTTTTATGAAATGGTAACGAAGAGTAATATGCTTAGTGTTCGAATGTTGCACAGGATTATGACAAATACGAATTGCACTTTGATAATCACAATGTAATGGAATTCTCTTCATGTTTATTTCATAATCACGCAATTGACTTTCAATCCAAATTATTTGTGATGTGCATGCAGCAACGACAACATATTCTGCTTCAGCAGTCGAAATTGAAACACAGGTTTGCTTCTTTGATTGCCAGCTCACCAATTTCCCATCAAGTAATTGACATCCTCCACTCGTGCTTTTTTGATCAAGATTGCAAACTCCCAAATTAGCATCTAAGAAAACTTGAAAAAAGAAACTTGTTTTCAAAGGATACCATAATCCTAACAAAATCGAGCCTTTGAGATAACGAAAAATATTCTTGACTGTAATGAGATGTGGTTCAGGTGGATTTGACTGGTACCTAGCACAATTATAAACAGAAAACATGATACCAGGTCTACTTGCTGTGAGATAAAGTAATGAACCTATCATGCTTCGGTAGAGAGTTAAATCAATTGCTGGTTTATCTAACGAAGGTATAAGCCTTGTTCCAGTTGCCATTGGTACTCGTAACTTTGTGCTATTTTTCAATCCAAACTTTTCAATAATATTCTTCGTATATTTTTCTTGATTGATAAAAATTCCTTCTCTGCTTTGACAAATATTTAGACCAAGAAAATTATTAATTTTTCCCATCATGCTCATCTTAAATTTTCTTTTCATCGGGTTTTCAAATTCATTAGACAAAGTAGGGTCTGTAGAGCCAAAAATAATATCATCGACATAAATGTGAACAAGAATAAGATGATTCCTAACTTTCTTTCAAAATAATGTGGGGTCAACTGATCCTTGTTTAAATTTAGATTGTTTTAAGAAAGAGGTAAGAGTTGCATACCAAGCTCTTGGTGCTTGTTTTAACCCATATACAACCTTATCTAATATATAGCAATAATCAAGATGATCTTTTTTAACTAAACCTGGGAGTTGTTCCACATATACAGTTTCTTCAAGTTCTCCATTCAAAAATGCACACTTCACGTCCATTTGATACACATCGAAATCTTTGTGAGCTGCATAAGCTAAAAATATACGAACAGCCTCGAGTCTTGCGACGGGGGTGAAAGTTTCTTCATATTCTATTCCTTCTTGTTGTTAGTAACCTTTTACAGCAACCCTGACTTTGTTTCGAATAATGTTTCCATCTTTATCGGTTTTATTTTTGAAAATCCATTTTAACCCGACAATCAAAATATTTTTAGGTTTAAGAATTAATCTTCAAACCTTATTTCGTTCAAACTGAGCCAATTCATATTGCATTGCAACAACCCAATTAGAGTGTTGCATTGCATCCTTAACTGTATTTGGTTCGATTTTTGAAATGAAAACCTTGAACATGCAAAATTCTTGATGAGTATTCAGTACCTCATTCTTTGCACGATGTTGAGCTCTTGTTAAAACTCCATCTTGTGGATTCCCAATTACTTGTTCTTTCGGATGATATTTTTTCCATTTTTCAAGTGTTGGATATGTTGGATCAAAATGCAAATGTGCATCTTCGTATAAATCTTCATTTTCTAAACCTGTAATAGAAAGATTATCATTAATTTCGTGAAATTCATCATTTAGATCAAGACTTATCGTATCACTGTTATTTTGAATATATTGCTCCCCCTCAACTAGATGCTCCCCCTCAACATCTTCATTCATTCTCCCATTCTTCCCCTCGAAAGAATGATCCTCCTCAATTTGAGTATTCGAATCCAAGTGCTCCCATTCCACTGGATTATTTAGCATACTTTCGCCAATTCTTGGAGAATTCGATGTTGAATAATTTTCATCAAGAATTTGGGTAAGATCCGTTCCATCAGTATGCTTCGAAGAGTCAGATTGATGATTATCATTCGCATGATCTTTAGCATTCACAGCCCTGTCAGGAACACCAAAAATTAAATCATAATCAAAATCAGATGAACTTACAATTTCAGATTCATCATTCGATTCATTAATAATCGGCTTTTGTTCGAAGAGTTTGTCAACTTGTTTAACATTATAGTCATCAAAAGTAAGATTGAACGTTTCTTCGACTTTTCGTGTTCATTTATTTAACACTCTATATTCAACCGAATTGTGCGAATATCCCATAAATACTCCTTCGTCAGCCTTAGCTTGAAACTTCGAAAGATTATCCTTGATATTCATGATGAAGCACTTACAACCAAACACATGAAAAAATTTAACATTTGGTGTTCGATTATTGATTATTTCATATGGAGTGATACTGTAACGTCGATGAATACAAGAATGATTCTGAGTAAAGTACGTTGTTGACGCTGCTTCGGCCCAAAAATATTGAGGAAGATTCGCGTATGTCAACATTGTTTTCGCTGCTTTGCAAAGTGACCTATTTCTTTGTTCAACTACACCATTTTTTGGTGTTGTATATGGTGACAAAAAATTATTCGAAATTCCTTTTTCAATTAAGAATGAATCAAGCACTTTGTTCTTAAACTTAGACCCATTATCACTTTTGATCTTTCGAACAAACTTCTTCAAAATTTTCTCAATTTGTTTAATAAATTTAATCATTGTTTGGACGACTTCAGATTTTAACATGAGAAAATACACCCACGTAAATCGTAAAAAATCATCAACAATAACCAAAATGTACCGTTTCTTGTTGAGAGTTTCAACAGTTGATGGTCCATAAAGGTCAATGTGAAGAAGTTCCAACGGTTCCACAATTTTCGAATCTATCACAATTGGATGTGTTTTGCGATGTTGTTTCCCTTGTTCGCAAGCTGTACATAAAGTATCATTGTCAAATTTTAATACTACTAAGGCTCGAACAAGATCTTCAGTGACCAACTTATTTATATTTTGAAAATTTAGATGAGATAAACGACGATGCCATAACCAGCTAACATCAGATGCAGCTTTCGAAAGTAAACAAATTGATGGTTTCCCAACAATTGGTTTGTTATCAAGAGTAAACACATCGCCATATTGTTTTGATTTCAGCAACACTTCGTTTGTTTCAATCTTTGAAATAATACTTCCTTCTTCATTAAACACAAATTGATTTCCAGTGCCTACAACTAGTTCGAAACATTTATCAAATTATGTTTAAGGCCTTCGACATAAGCAACACAATTTACAGTGAATTTACCATTCGTTACTTTTCCTTAGCCTTTGACTTGACGTTTGTGATTGTTGCCAAACTTCACAACTCTAGCATTATCCAAGCTTCGAAATTCTCACAAATTCTCCTTTCGTCCAGCCATGTGATGTGAGAAACCACTATCGATATACCATTTATCATCATATTGATCGTCACTAAGTACCTGCGATCATTGAAAGAATTTAGGTACCTAAGGTTGTTTTGGTTGTTGGAAGTTAGTTTTTATAAAAGAATGAAATGCAGTACTCTTAACCCAATCACAAACTTTAGTTTTGAAATTATCAATTATGTTCACATCATTAGGTAAAGGAATCGAAACATAAGTCTTCGATAGTTGGGAATTATCACTGACATAGGCCTTCGTTCTCTTAGATTGTGGTTCAACATTCTTTTCTTTCACAACTGCTCTCCACTTCTTTACTGAAACATTCAAATCTTTTGAAGATAAGCTTCCAGTTGAAGAAGTATTCACATACTTCTCATAAGCGTCTTGAATTTGTTGTTGACAGTATTTCCTTGATTGATACATTCGTCATTTTCCTTCAAGCCATTGATCAAAGTTTTTCTATTGAGACAACCCTTTTGTGTACAAAACTTTTGAAAGTTGTTTTACTGAAGGATTTGGAAAATTAGGTTTTTGTGGAATAAAATCGACATTGGATTTTAGACGAAAATTTTGAACATATGTACCAACAACATTTTTCTTATCATTTGTTTTTGGAGAAAATCTATTTTGATAATGTTTCGATTGAGTTGAAAATGATTTTTGTTTTAGGTTCTGATTTTGAGAAAATCTTTGTTGTGGATGATACGAAAAACAATTTTGAACTTTTTGATTTTGAAATCTCTTTCAAGAAAGAAAAAGACCCTTTTACGACGCGCAAATCACGACACTCGTTGATTTATGTTACGCAAAAGAGAGTGACTTTAAACAAGTGTCATCTCTTCAAAAAATTTAACAATAGAGGACACGCATTATTGCGTGTCCTTAAATTAGTGTCTAACAAAAAAAAAAAAAAACACGGAGGGCACCTATAATAAAATGCGCGTCGTCTAAGGATGTCGCTTTATAATTTTTAATGGAACGCGCATTCCATCCTTTAACAATAGGGGGAAATGAAATTCTGAAAAAATTAAAAATCCCGCCTTCCTTTTTTTTCTCCTTTCCCTCTTGCCCAAATTATGGACGCTCCTTCATTCCCCCTCTCGACATTGACTGTTGCCTACTTGTTCCCTCACTTCTACCTACTGGAACCACCATATCTCCCACTTGATGTTGAAATTGTTAGAAAAAGCCCTAATTATACTCTCAAGTCTAAATAGAGAAAAAATAGAAGATGGTCAAGAAGTAGCAGTAGAGGAAGTGGAGGATGAACAGTCGAAAATGGAAGGAATGGCATCAATAGCGTTGTTACTAGATGGGTCAATCTCGGGTCATTTTGTTCAGCTTCCCGAGTCCGTTTATTACCAGATGGGTCATATCGTCTTTTCATCTCGACTTCATATCTCTCTGTAAAGCAACCGACGACCCCCACACCACCATCTGCAAACCCTAAGCCATTGTCACTACCATTGAACCCTAAAAACTCATTCACACTCCACTAGATTGGGCTCCAGCGGTGACTCCTACTCTACCTCCCGTCTACCATAATTAGGAAATCCTAGAAATTAAAAAACCCTAATTTTGTCGATTTAGGGTTCGGACTTCGTTCCATCTCTCAGTCTCCGCCATTCTTGCCAACTGGTGTTGCAACACTGTTGTCACCATCTATCCCATCACCCACCACAATCAAAGTTGATGAAACCCTACCTCCTCCTGCTTCCAACGCCTCAAAATGGATTGTACATGTCGACGTTGCTTGCGTTTATTATGCTATTTCTCTCAAAATCAAATCGACCCAAAACCCTAGTTCTTGTTGTTCAAATTAATTTCAATGTTGAACCTTCGAATTCATAGTTTGAAGAAAAGATATTAGAAACTATGTATCAGAATCCAGTAGTGGTGGTAATTGGTGAGAACGGTTCATGGAAAAGAACTCAACTCCTGTAGATTTTACACAAAAATGGCTAGACGAAGACCAGAACCATCACAGTGACCCATCCCCATTGTGTCGCTGTCATCTTTATTTCTAGGTATTCATATTGTCACAGATAAAATCGGACCTTAATTTTTACCTCTCATGTGGTTGTCAATTACGTTTAAATGGTTACTTCCCAACATTTTTTTTATTTACTATTTCAGAAGGTTTTCTTAAAGTGTTGACAGCATTGGCAAATACTCTTCCCCTTATCCATCACAAAGGAATTTCTTCTTCCTTTTTTTTATTTTTTTATTTTTTTATTTTTTTATTTTTATTTTTTCTGGTTTTAGCAGTGGGAAAAACATGGAGGAAGTAGTTGTGGTTGTTGAGTTGATTACAAAGCTTCATGAAGGTAATATCTTCTGCGGGAAAACATGAGTTTTCTTTGAATGTTAAAACTGTTATTGGGTTCCAAGGGTGTGAAGAGGATGTGAAAATCATTTCAACTGTAATTGGAATTGAGAGTGGATATATTGGTTTTCTAGCTAGACCTCAAAGAGAAAATGTGGCTCTAATAAGAGCAAGGTAATATATATTTAACTTTACAAAGAAAAAAATTCAAATATTTATGCCTGAAGAAATGATTTAATCTGTTTATTCTCTGCTTCATCAGATTAATGACCATATTTTTATTTTTATTGTTTTCGTAGGCAGAGGAGCTAGTTGAGGTTAAACAAATGATAAAAACCCCTGATTTTTTCAACAAGCTTGTTGATAGTATGGCCCCTACTGTTTTTGGTCATCAAGAAATCAAGCGAGCAATTCTGCTTATGCTTTTGGGTGGAGTTCATAAGTTCACCCATGAAGGGATCAATATCCGGGGGGGGGGGGGGCATCAATGTTTTTATTGTTGGAGATCCAAATTGTGCTAAATCTTAGTTTCTCAAGTAAGCATATCTATTTAAATCTTGTTTTATATATAATATGTGTAGAGTTTGACAATTTTTTTTCTTTTTCTTTTGTGGGTACACAACAACCTTAGTTTCAAGATCTTTTTACACATCTGGGAAATCTTCCTATGTTGTTGGATTGGCAACCACTGTTGCAAAAGAACGAGAAACCGGAGAGTTTTGTATCGAGATACTAGTTCTGTAAACTAAATACTAAAACTGATGATATATACATTATACAAAGGACTTTAATGTTTCCTTCCAATCAAGCATATGATATATATACATAAATCTTAAGGCGGTTGTTTATGACGATTTTTTGCATAATTTTTAGTTTTACCCTTTCTTAATTATATTTTTTGCATTTGCACGAGACATGACTTTCTCTGTAAAATAGATGGAAACTAATTAACATCACATTTGCATGCCGATTTGATGTTTACATGGATTATCAACTTTTTGAGCATCAGGTGAACACTATAACTCATGTTTTCAGTTCCACTCATGAGGGTATAACTGTCTTTTTGCATCACTGCAGATTCATTAGTTTTCCACATTCAATTCATTTACGATGGTTATCTTCTTGACTGGATTGGTGTCGATGATTTTAATAATCCCCCAAACATGCTAGTTTACAAAAGAAGGAAACACAGGGGTAAACTGGTCACAAACCCAGAGGACATGGTAACATCTTGATAAATTTATCAAGTAAGTCTTCCTTAGGGTAGCTTAAAGCTAAAAAAAATTCCTTAAATATGTTAGTTTATAATATAATTTTAATTTCATGGGTGTGCTTTTAGGGCTTAAGGCTTTAAGAGTACTCAATTTGGGATTCAATGATATTGCAGATGCTGTTTTGGTACATCTGAACGGTGCTTCTTGTCCTTTGATTATTTTTTATTTATGTTTTATACTAAACATGTATAAAGTTGAAGTTTTTGATGTCTATTAAATTAGAAGATTATATGTTTTTGTGCCATTTGATGCAAGTTTAAATAAACTGGAGACCTTGAATCGGATTCATGTAGAATTTGGGATAATGGACTAATTAACTTGGCAGGTGATTCTTTTGTTACTTATCTTTTTATTATTATTTAAGTATTTTTTAAAGCTTTTTACCATTGCAAAAATGTCCTTTTTTTCCACCGACTACTTATTGTAGAATAAGGTTTTTAGATTTTACTCTTATGAAATAATATTTTATCCCCCCCCCCCCCTCGAATCATATTCTAATCTTAAATGTATATTATTTCCTGACTACTTATCTATTTGATTTAACAAAATAAAAATGAATATTTTTTTAGAAAACAATTACCATTGAAATGATTTTTGTAAGACCCAATATCAAGTATTCAAAAACATAGTTATCGGATAATATTTTTATAACTACATATACAATAATTTTATTATCTTTGTATACGTAAAATATATAAAAAAAGTCCTGACATAGTTATTTTATAGAAATATGGCGTGTGGTTCAAAAACGACAAATTAGATAATCGTTAAAAAAAAGCTTTTGTATTGGAGAAGACACTTGAAAATATGTTTTTGATAATAAACGTAGCGGAATAGATACTCTTATTCATATTAAAGATTTTTTTTTTTTGCTAATTATCTGGCATGTAATTTTTTAGTGCATATACGTTTTTAGTGCATATACGTTTTTTATATATAGATGTATAGGTAATGGTGTTAGTGATGAAAGATAAGGTTCAGATTCAAAAAGTGTTGTAGAGCAAACAAATGGATCTTCAGGTATGCAATACTCTAGATATAATAGCAGCCTTTTACAACGTGCAGTTTCTGACAGCTCTAGCAACCTCCTTCCATGCCCTGCAACATTTCAAAGTTCCTGCATTCAGGTTATTCTTTTAGAAAGGAAATTGTCAAAGGAGATTGTCAAAGGAGAATTTAGTCATGGGTTTCTTTTAAGGTTGTACATGTTTTGTTTTCTATAATAAATATTATGCAATATTAGCAACGTGTTACATTTACTTACTATTGAAATGATTATTTGTATTTGACATACTATAGTGCAATGACTTATTTGTATGACATTAAAATTATGCAATGGATTCTATTTTTTGTATATGATATTTTATTTTCTATTATGAAACATTAAATAAAATTTAACTTGAAAATAAGTAAATCTATAAATAATATATTTTTTTAAACATTTAAAGTTATGATACGCAAAAATGTGTGTCATCTTCATTTATGACATGAGCTTTCTTGACAGCGGCTTTTTTGATATGTATTGCGTGTCATTAACATGTGCGTCGTTAGGTTACGACACGCGAATGCGTGTCGTATTCTTTTATGACAGGGCCTTCCTTGATACGCATTGCGTGTCGTAAACGCGTGTCATAAATGCGCGTCGTCTCTCTTTATGACAGGGCCTTCCTTGATGCGCATTTGCGCGTCGTCTGAGCCTTTTACGACGCGCAATGAGCGTCGTAAAAGGCTGTTTTTCTAGTAGTATTATGAGCCCTTGATGAAAATGATGTTTTCTGATCTTTTTAAACCTTGTTTTGTTGCTTAAGGTCAGACATGGATTGACTTCTTTGAGTGAGATTTTTCCTTTTGTCTGAATAAGATGATGAAAATGAAGTCTTGTTCTTAACAAATTGAGTTTGTGTGTTTATAGATGTTTTCAATTTCAAATCATTTTGTGTCTTTTGTGACTCAATGGTGTACCAGAAAATCTTCTTTCGTGCTTTCCTTTTTGAGATTTTATTATCTTTCAAAAATTTGTCAATTTGTTCTTTGAATTCTTTCGAATTTAATTTGACAAAATTTTCATCTTACACAATATCTTGTATTAAAACCTCTTTCACAACTTTAGATTTCTCAACCCATTTTCGTTGAGGTTTTTGTGTTTGAAAAACATACGAAGTATTTGATAGATTATTTTCGACAGTGCTTTGGTTTGAAAAGAATCCTTCACCAGATGTTTTCTTGTTGTCTTCTTGAACTAATTTCTTAAGCTCCAGTTTTAAATTCTCAACATTCCCAGTAGTAACAAATACTTGATTCGGGAATATTACATCATTAGTGCACTTGAAATTCAGATAAACCACAGTGTTGGTTTCCAAATAGTGAGCACCTTTTTCAGAAACCACATTGTCGAATTTTCAGTCTCTCCATACACTTGATCAACGACTATTAGTGGAATTTCAGTTTCTTTCGAAACTTTGTTGAATGTAAGTTCCTTTTGAACTTCTTCATCATTTTCATCATCACTGTCATCTGTTTGACTATCTCGAACATCAATCAAATCATGATCACAAACTTTCGAAGTTGAAGGTTTGTCAGTATCAATCTTAACATTCGAATCCTTACAAATGTATTTTCCATTAGATTTTGATGCAACATTAATGACAGACAACTGAGAACAATCAACATTCTCAAACTCATTGATTTCATTAATATTATTAGAATTATCTTCAATATTAGCAAAATTAGTTTGTAAGTCAGATTTCGAATTCTCATTCTTTTTCAAAATTTTGATTTGTTCATTTTTTTGTCAAGGTATCATTCACTATATCAATTAATTCATTTAAATCAAGACATTCACCAATTTTTACAATACCATATGCATATCTATCATTTGGAATTTTATCAAATTCAGCAATTGTTTTATCACAATCATAAGAAATATTATCAACCTTCTCTCTCCTAAAATTTAGAAAAGGTAACAACTTTCTATGTTGTTCATTGCTAATGTGGCTTGAATGATGCAATGTTGTAAGTTTTCCATAGAGTCTTTTAGCAGAGTTACAGTAGATGTTTCTTTGTGCTAATAAAAGTTTTACATCACTAGAAAGAGAATCTCTATAACACATGATGTTAGTAACTTGGATGTCTAAACACTCTCTTCTAGTTATTTTCGAATCTAGCTTTTTTTGCGTCTCTAATAATTGTGTGCTATGTTTCTTAGCTTCGTTACTAGCAGACACAATAATTGAATCAAAGTAAGCAACAGTATCATCAAAAGCAACAATTTCAGAATTATATGTACTTAAAGGAATATTGAAAGATTCAAGAATAGAACGTACCTTACTAGTCATCGAAGACTTATCAACTGATTTGGATACGAAGCATTGACCTGTGATCTCTTCATCAGGATCATTTTCGAACTTCGCATACATGACACCATGCGTCAGATTACACATTTATAATCACCTAAGCCCGAATACCAGATCAGATAAGTACCATCTTCCTCCTGTTCACCTTTTGCCACCAAATACATGCGTTTCGCCTTCACTCTCACTTCCTCCAGCCTCTCCGTGTAGTACGCCTCAGCCATCAAATTATTCTTCCTCTCATCTTTCTTACGAAGAATACAATCATTCGCAAAATGATTTACTCTGTTGCAGTAATGAAAATCTACACTTGAATCTACTTTCAACTTCCTCTGACTCTTCTCCTCAGCAACTTTCCCTTCTTTCTTTTCAATCTTCTTCTTCTCCTCTCCAACAACCTTGTTCACAACATTTCATTTTCCTTCATTTTGCCTTACTTTCGGATTAAAAGGTTTCTTGAAGAACTTTTTGACCCTGTTGTTTGAATAAAAAGCTATTGCTTCATTATCCGAAATCATTAAAATACCCTCTTCAACAACTGAATCACCGTTTTCAACTGTTTCCTTTTCAGTTACTTTCGAGACAAGTGCCAATTGACCACCTAGATGGAGCTTCGACTCTTCTTCCATCTCATTAATCTCACTTTCTTGAGTTTTCAGTTGATTATACAAATCATTTAAAGAAGATG